TCGAGAATATACTACAGCCTCTCTTTCTCATATATTATGGCTTACTTTCTCTCTCGCTACTATGCTCTGGTTTCCTTGTAACGTCGTTTCTGTGTGCTTTCACAGTATGTGCTAAACAGGGTCGAGTCACAGCCATTCATAGAGGTTCTACCGATAATTGTTACATGTCAGTTTGATGGACTGAAATTAAGCTTTTTGCAGGGTAATGAAATAGCTTGAAGTATGTATCTATATATATATATATATATATATATATATATATATATATATATATATATATATATATATATATATATATATAGTGTTTGATAAGCACTGAAACTAAGCAGGGTCAGTACCTGAATGGAGACCTTTTGCCAATTCCAGGTTGCTGGTAAGATAAGGTGTTAATGCCTCGGTATTTTTTTTTTAATTAAGTTTTTATTTGATGGCAAAATATGTTTTAAAAATCTTAGTGATGTAACGTTGTACTTTGTTCGAACACTCCCACACCCATGTGCTGCAGTAGGCGGGTTTGTAAAGGAGTCAATCTGCTTGCATATACTCCTGAACATGATGATGGTGGCTGTGAGAGACAGTGTTGTCCTAGTTACTGAAAAATAGTAACTTCATTCAAAAAGACCATCAACTCAATTACTTTATCGATTACTTGCATCAAAAAGTAATGCATTACTGTTAAAAGTCATTTTTGAGTTACTTTTCCAAAGAACTTTTTTAATGCTCCCATTAATGCTTTTTTAATGCTCCCACAGTCACCATCATCGTGTTTAGGAGTACATGCGAGCAGATTGACGTCTTTACAAACCTGCCTACTGCAGCACATGGGTGTGGGAGTGTTCGAATAAACTACAATGTTACATCACTAACATTTTTGAACATATTTTGCTTCCAAATAAAGACCTTTATTTGAAGCATAATGAGGCATTAACACCTCATCTTACCAGCAAACTGGAATTGCCAGAACGTCTCTATTCAGGTACTGAATCTACTTAGATTCAGTGCTTAGCAAACACTATACATATATATACTTCAAGCTATCTCATTACCCTGCAAAAAACTTGGTTTCAGTTCATCAAATTGACAGGTAACAATTATCAGTAGAACTTCTATGAACGACTGTGACTCAACCCTGTTTAGCACAAACTGTGAAAGCACGCAGATATCTTATAACATCACATAGACTGTTAATCAACTTCACAGTTTTAATTAATTTTTATTCTCAATTAAAACACAAGACAGACTTAAAAAAGAAGTATTTTTTTAAACATTAATTTATTTAAATCAGACCAGCAGCACAAAAATAAAAAATATTATAAGATGAATAATATATTCAGAAACAAAAAAGCAGAAGTTGTTGTACTTAACCCATAAGCATGTTCCTTCACAGCTTGAGTATAAAAACTAGCAAAAATATACAACAAACACAAAATCTTTATGAAATAAATAAATGAAAGTAATCTGAATTATCATTCAGAATCAATTTGGTGAAACTCAGCACCAAAAAAACTGCTGTTAATGACAACCATAGATTTGATGCATTTTAAACAAAACAAAAAAATGACAGCTTCTCAAAAATGAATCAATGAGCAATCAAACGTGGTATGTCAACAACGTAATCTGTGTATATCCAAAGCAAAATCTGCTGTTGTATAACAGCGATTAAAATATGTAAAACAATTTTTAAAATCACTGCATTTTTTTCTGAACAATACAACACTACAGTATACATTTTAAATAGCATGTTCTAAAATGTATCAGAAATATGTCACTCTGTCTACTAAACTAGAAAACTTTGTTATACAGATAACAAATGTGTCCTTATTTACAAACATAGTAGTATTGGTAATAGTAATTAATAATAGTAACGCTAATAGTCTACTCGATCTCTCTCGTGCGCACTTGACTTTTGTCCAGTCTGGTGCCTCATACACGACTCGTCTTCTTTACGGTGGTTGGTTGTCATCCACCAATCCCACAGTGCATCTCCACTGTAAACAGGCAGATATGGGCTAGACTGCAGCCAAAATTAATTGACTTACCAAGTAACCAACAAACGCATCATATTGTAATGATAACGGAGTTACTATATTTAAAAAGTAATGCATTACAGTACTTACTGTCAAAAATAATGCATTATAAAAGATTATTAAAGATGTCAACCTGCTCGCATGTACCCCTAAACACAATGATGGTGACTGTGAGAGAACAGTTTTATAAACGTCTGGCCAACAGCCTTCTTTACAGATAGCACCACCGTGACATCTGTAATTTGTTTTGTATTTGCCGCAGACAGACATCAAGTTGTGCTTGCACAAACTCAAACAAAAGACTTGACATGATGAGAGTGGCATATCACTTAATATGACCCCCTCCAAGTAATTGAAATCTATCTGAGTGGTCGTGCAGGTGGTACAGGCTAGTGTTGTTATTTTGTACTGTGTCCTCCTGTCTGACCCCTGAAGAATGAGAAACATATCGAGGAAAGAAGTCACATGCCAAATAAGGTGTGGTTCTAGAACACACCCACCGAATGTGGAAACGCCTTGGACCAATGGTAGCTCAAAGGGTGTTCAGGAGGCAAAATGAACTCCCCCAAATGTTTGTTTTGGTGAGCTGTTTTAAACTGCTAAAATAAACTCAACTTTACTGCGACCGGATTTTGTTTGAAATTATTTGATTTCATTTGAACTATAGTTTATTGAGGCCAGCAAAAGGGTGTTTACTCTGTTGTCAATGTGGATCCTAATGCTCCATAAGGATCCCAAAATCTATTGCCACTTCTTGTAAAAGAGTAATCCTGGACAAAATTCCCTTCATCTCTATCACCTTCTCTCTATAGCTGGTGTGTGGTGACTGCATTGTTGCCATTGCTGCCATTGGTCATCAAGGTTTTGGTTGAGAAGAGATCCCCTGAGCGCTCTGTAAAGGGCTTTGGGTCACACTATATAAAACACTATATCAGGGGTTACCAACCCTGTTCCTGGAGAGCTACCTTTCTACAGATTTTAGCTTCAACCCTGGATCAAACACACCTGAACCAATTAATTATGACCTGAAGCAGATAGGTTTGTTAGATCATGGTTGCAACTGAAATCTGCAAGAAGGTAGTGCTGGTTTAGTGACCCCTGCACTATATAAATGCTTTATTCACTCAATATTCAGTCATACCCATACAGAGATGCTACTGACTTCTCTTGTGTCCTTCTCCTGTTCTCTAGGTTTTCATTCATACTCGTTTAAATGTATGCTTTTTGCATATTTCAGTACATGTAGCTCAGAAATAAGCATATTCTGATGTAGAGAGTGCGCTTTGATTCATGGGAAGCATACATCACCGCAAGCATTCAAGCTTAAAACCTCTCGAAATGCCTTTATAGTAAGTTCTAAAGCCATCTGTGTAATATTGTCATCAACCATGCACGATTACTTAAATCATTAATTAAAATGATTATGATAATTGGGTTATTAACATGCTTGATTGCCCTTGTCTGATGCAAATTATGGCAAAAGGAAAATACTTAGAAGAGAGGTTGGGGGTTGGTGCATAGAGAGATGAAAAGATATATGAGCCAAAGGGAAGGAATAAGATAGTAGGGGTGAAAAGTGGAAAAAGAAGCAGGAAACACTGATTGAGAGAGTGCTGAGAATAAACACCCTGCTCAGCATCAATAGCCGTCAATCACTGATGTTCAGTCGTTGTGTAACCATTCTACTCTACTTTGACTTAAGAGCAAACACAGAGGACATTCTCCTGCTGTTTGTATTCAGCTAAGGACTGCTGTGTCTACTTTAAGAGATGGTATTACCTTTGTGAACCTAAACACAACCTCTACTATGTATTAGTATTTCCTTTTAGTGTTAGTATATATATATTATTTCCTTGTGGTACATACGCTACTTCAAAGAATATTATAATAGTACCATGTCTAAAGAAGCATTGTTTTAACATGTCCAAACAGTTGTAGTACAGTCTTGGCATCATATAGTAATACAAAGATACTTGCATAAGTCTCAGTACCATGGTACATGTCCAAAAAATTAGGTAGTACTGTTTGGTGGTACTTTATGCTATTTTTAGTAGTGTCCAAATTAAAGGGAGGGTTTCGCTTACATCGGTATCTGCCTCCTCTTTTATAGCACTGCGACACTTGTTAAATCATCTGGGCCTGTTTATCATGCAAAACCATCCTCCCACTAGTGCTGGACAACAGACGCAGCTGAATGGGTCCAATCAATAGAGCTCAGGGAGGAATGTCAAACAAGCCGTAACACTGCACAGCATCATTGTTTTGTCACGTGTCTCCCCATACAATCTAGAGTAGGAGGAAGAGGAAAAAGAAACTGTGCTAGCTTTCTTATTTGATGGACAATTTTTAACTTAACATCCAATATAGAGAGACAGTTCTAACTTTCCTAATATACTTATGCATTTATCAGTTTGTTGAGGCATGTTATTTTACAATAAATATTTGTTGAGCTGCTGTTAAGATAGTCCTCTGTAAACGACTGCAAGCTATTTGTCCATTCAGCACCACTGTGGCATAGAAATAAATCCTGATGCACAAAATATTTACAGCCTTCATTTTTTGGTTTCTCATTTTCTTCAGTTTACATGGCTTTATCATCTAAAAGCTGCTGAAATTATGTTTGTGCATTAAACCTGATTATGTTTCTTTATTATATTTCAGGTTCTTCCTGCAGTCCTGGAGACTCTCTCTCGGAAGGAAATGATTCCACATGAATTGCATGGACCGCTCTCCCGCAGCAGGTGTGACTTCAATTGCTTAAGACTGAAATCTGTGTCAATCCGACCATAGGCACAGGACACATCCCCTCTCACCACCACTCTCCTCTCTACCCCATTCCCATACTCGCTCCAAGCCAATCAGTAGGAGGGCACACTCTGTTAGCAAGACAAACGGAGACCAGGAGGGAGAGGAAAAGAGCCAAAAAAGGGGAAAGAAAAATCCGGAAAGAGTGGTTCAAGATTTTCAGACACCATGAAGTCAAACCAGGAGCGGAGCAATGAATGCCTGCCCCCAAAGAAGCGTGAAATCCCAGCAAGCACTCTGCCCTCAGAGGAGAAGCCCATGGTGATGGCGCCTGCCAATGAGAGCCAGCGTGGAGGGAACCTGGCTTGGCTTGCCAGTCTGGCCAGTGGGCATGACAAAGGCCGGCTGCACACCAGCACGTCTGCAGAATCAGATGGGCCTCAATATAAACCATTGTCAGCCACGGCTGAGAGCACACCTTCCTCGTCCACACACTCAACCAGAGCTCTATCTGCAGTGACCACCATACCTGCAGTGTACACATCACCTCTCTCCCATTCTCCTAGCGCAATCCAGTACACACCCCTCCCTCACAATATACACTTCATCAACCCTCCTTACTCTGCACCATACGCTGGCTACATCTCTCCACTAGCTCCCCCTTTAGCTGCCACCACTACCACACAACGTGAGATTTATGCCAGCTCCTCCAGTTCTCCAGCATCCAAAATTGATCAGCACCACCAATTGGGCCGTCCTCAAGGCCTGGTCACAACTGACAACACCTCTTCACCTCACTCCACTCAATATGTTCAAATTGCTGGTTCTCCACTAAGCATATCCCCTCGAACTGTTTCGTCACCGCATACACACTTGCCCCTACATTTACATCCTCACCACACACTTCCCCTTAGTGGCCCTTCACAGGTCTTAGTCCCATACACAGAAAGTCTTTTACCCAAGAGGGAGGAGATGAGGACCAGGGAGTTGCTGAATGGAGAGCTGGAGAAGGACAGACGTTTTGGTCCATCTTCTGAGTCCAGTGCAGGGAAGCAGGGCAGCACTGCCAAAGGGGGTTCCTCTGCCCAGCAGCACCAGATCCACCAGCAGCAGAGCCCACGTCACTTTGAAGCTCGACATGTTGTGCTACCTGCCGAGTACACGCAGGACAGCACAGCCATGAGGACCTCATTGGTGCTGGTACCTAATAATCATAGCTCCACTAGTGCTGATTCTGGAGGTGCATCAGACAAGCTGCCTCCCTCGACATCCCACCATGAAAAAGGAGGGATTTGTGCTGGCAAACCTGTCTCCCGCAGTTCCTCCTTATCTTCCTCCCTTTCATTTGCTCTTCCCCCTCCACCTGTGGACAATCTTAAGGGAGCAGTTCCAGCGCAGTCTCCTCATGCAGTCATTCAGACCACACTTAACAGCACAGAGTCACTCTCTCTAAGCCTCCCCTCCACTAATTTCTACTCCACCCAGCAGCCTATCATTGGTTACTTTGCCGGCACAGGGCACCAGCAGCCTCTCAGCTACCACACCACCTTACCCCAGCACTTGGTCATCCCTGGAACTCAGCCGGTCATCATCCCAGTAAGTGGAACTGAAGCTACCGCTACATCAACTGCTGCACTGCCCCATGCTTTCGTCACCTCAACAGCCCCCAAAGTGGAAACTTTTGAATCTCCGGCTCCATACCCCCACCCTGCCACAGCTATGGTTCAAGCCCAGTTGCATTTGCCTGTGGTTCCAGCACCTGCTGGCCTGCTGACAACTCCACCCCCACCCTCAGCTCCTTCAATGCCACCCTACTTCACCAAGGGCTCCATCATCCAATTGGCAGATGGGGAACTGAAGCGGGTGGAAGACCTGAAAACAGAGGATTTCATTCAGAGTGCTGAGATTAGCAACGAGCTGAAGATTGATTCCAGCACTGTAGAGCGCATCGACAGCAGTCATACAGCTAACTTTGCTATAATACAGTTTGCTGTAGGAGCGCAACGCTCACAGGTGGGTTCATAAGTTTTCTATTTAACATTGCTGCTTGTAGACACATCTGAGTATCTGTTTTTCTTATGCACAAAGATAAGCGGGGAAATAAACTTGAGATTGATGACTATGTGATATTAATCAAACACTGTGTACCATGTCTGCACGTGGTAGTAAAGGGTTTATTATTAAAAAAAAAATCTAATGGAGTTGACCTTTGCCTAAGTTTTAGGTGTGTGTACAGCAATTATATTGTCCTCCATATATTATATATTGCCAATCTTTATGAACCATAACTTCCGTTTGTTTCTTGCCATCTCTGAAATTAGCATTTTTAACGAGTTTTTTTAATGTTTATATGAACATTCCATAACTGTTTGTTATTAAAGGTGCAGTAGGTGATTGTCTTCAGAAACACTTTTTGTTGTACTGGTTGAAAGTCTCTTTACAGTCCAATAGTAATGATTACAGTAAATAATCTAAATGTGTTTATATGTATTTTTATATTCTGGTTAAGGCATAAAACTAAAAAATGTTCATCCAATTAAATAGAGTCAGACCGACATCTCCCATAATTCCGATAAGCAGGTCAGACTGTCTGTCAGCAAATGTAGATTCGGACTTCTGCGCATCTGTTCACGCAGATCCGCCATTAGGACGTGCCCGTCTGCATAAGCGGCCGCGCGGTCACGAGACGGACCGGTAGAAATCAAATGCTTAATTGAAACTTTTAAAAACCTGAATCAATATTGGAGTTACTTTAGCAGGCTGGTGGAAGGACGACATCATGGCTGAAGTATTACTGTTAGACATGTAATGTTCTGTTTTAAAACTATTTTAGTCAGGCTAAGCTTATGTTAGATTGTGTTCTGCTATGAATGACTTATATGCACAGACGTGTTGTTCAGACCCTGAAATCTCCCGGTGAAAGATTGATGTGATTATTTTCAGTTTCATAAGGTCCTTTTACAGCATCGATGATGTAGATCAGGGGTCACCAATCTCGGTCCTGGAGGGCCGGTGTCCCTGCAGGGTTTTGCTCCAACTTGCCTCAACGCACCAGCCTGGATGTTTCAAGTATACCAAGTAAGACCTTGATTAGCTTGTTCAGGTGTGTTTGATTAGGATTGGAACAAAAATCTGCAGGACACCGGCCCTCCAGGAACAAGTTTGGTGACCACTGATGTAGATTTATGTTTAGTTTAACAAGAAAACATCAGTAAATAGCGCTATTTTGCCTAGCCTACTTTATTGAGCTGAAGTTGCTTTTATATTCACATTGGGTCATTTTTGAACAATGACAGCCTTCCTATACTGTTTACCATGCTACTCTGAATAATCTGTCTGAAATAGCATGTAAGTGTGGCTAAGTAATAAATGTAATTCCCGCACAGCACTGGCACTGACTAACTGGCGAATTACATGAACTAGTGGGTTGTCTGTCTGCTGTTGTAACGCGGTGCGCGCGCTCGCGATTTCAGGGGGTGTAGCTTTGAATCACAGTCCCTCCCCGCCGTCCCAATATAATATGCTAAGGGGTTATCGTTTTGGCAGATCACCTACTGCACCTTTAATTATATACAGTGCATATTTGAAGTATATCATTTACATTAGAATCCAAATTGCAGTTATTTGAATCATGCCATTTTATGAGGTGTGATTACAGTTGAAATATCTTGGCAAATTGGCCAAATATTATGACGGTTTCATAATATGCAGATGGATTCCAAAGATGGGTAATTTAATTTCATGTTTAACAATTGTCAGTTAAAAATCTTTACAGCATTTGCAATTGCCCAGGGATCTTTTTTTTTTTACTTTACATCTTCCGTGCAACTTCATCATCTCGCTTTGAATAAGCATATGGTAGTCATTAAGTTTATATTTTTATATGCTGTGAGAGTGTGAATGTCCCCTTATATGAACTCCACCTGCACTCAATCAGTGTAAGTAGATGTGGGGCAAATTGGCAGCTGAAATCATCTCCCTGTTCCATAATCCCTCCCCTGGCTGTCCCCATGGCATCTTTGTTTAGTTTGTGTGGGATTCACTGGCAGAATTGAGTCATTCCTTATTTCTGCTTCCTTCTGTTGTACTGTGAGTGGGCTGTATGAAAAATCTGCTTCATTTGTCTGGGAGTTGAGATGGGGCCACCCACTCGAAAGCAGTTCTAAAGTCTGTCATTTCGAGAGGCACTGATTAACAGATGCTTTTTAGCAAAGACATTCATTCATATCATCAGGCATTTGTGCACGACTTCTACTTTCGGAAGTCATTGTCCTCTCTTTTTGACTCCCTTTTTCTTTTGCAGGTCAGTGTGGAGGTACTAGTAGAGTATCCTTTCTTTGTGTTCGGCCAGGGCTGGTCATCTTGTTGTCCGGATCGGACTACTCAGCTGCTCGAGCTGCCATGCACCAAGCTTTCAGTGGGTGACGTCTGCATCTCCCTCACCCTGAAGAACCTGAGGAACGGTTCCATCAAGAAGAGCCAGGGGCAAGTCTTGGATGCACCTGCACTCGGTCCACCTCTTAAATCACCAAAAGCACTCTCAAGTGGCGCACGAGGGGGTGTTCGGCACACAGAACAGGAAAATGGACTCGGGCAGTGTGCAGATCAAGGAAGTAGAGGCGGTCAAGGCAATAGAGAAAACGGAGAACTGAGGTTTGGTGAAAGGGACAACTGCAAAGCTCCAACACTCACAGAATCAGAGACCAGCAGTAAACCCACAGGTCGAAAAAGAAGGTGGTCTGCCCCTGAGGGTCGTAAAGTAGAAAATCCAGAAGGAGAGCCCCCTTTAACGTTCCCTAAGCCTTCTTTCATCCCTCAGGAGGTTAAAATCAGTATCGAAGGCAGATCAAATATTGGAAAGTGAACATGCGTCGGACTGTCTGCTTTTAAAATTGCAAAATTTGCCCTCAGAATGTTTTTAATTGTTCTGTTGTCCAGATTTCTTTTCCTAAAGGCAAAATTTACTCAGTATCTATGTTATCACATCTAACATTGTAATTGAGGAATTCAATTTTACACAGGCAATTGGTGCAATTCAATTGATTGGTCAAATTCAAGGTGGATGTAGAGCAAGGTGAGAAGGTTGTGAGACGGCATGTTATCCTGAAGGCTCCGGCATATAAAATTACTCACAGCTGACAAGACGTCTCTCTAGTCTCTCACCTACAAAATTCTTTTGGCTTACAAACGACACTTAGTGGCAATTAAAACATTCGCTTGCTGAACCTAAAAATGTTAGTAAGGGAAGATGAACAAGTGGTGTGAATGTGGTGGCAGAACGGAAATCACTCCTCCACTGGTTGCAGGAGTTTACATGATGTCAGCCATCTTGTTTAACTGTGACTACAAGAGACTATCCAAATCGATCCTAACAATATAGAGCAGTATGGTCAGCACAGTTAGACTAGCAAAGATTCTGTTAACGTTTATTGAAGTGCAAAAAGAAGTTTCCAAATACTATGGTACAGGCCAAGAGAGATGATGTCATTGAGCGGTGCCAGTTTGCTCCTCAGAAAAGACGAAACTATCACTTTAAACAGGGAAGATGGACGAATCTATTTTTATATATCCAACTGTCTAACCTTTTATTTGACTATTTTTGTAGTTTTGCATGTCTTACTTTTCAAACCCTCCTATCATACCTGATGGGTAGATTTTTCTTATGTTTCCCTCCCTTTTTTTGTGATGAATGTGTCAACCTTGCAATCAGGGGTCATTTTTTTGTATGTAGACACAGAATGGGTTCTTGTCTATGAATATATATGCATGGATGTATCTTGATGCATACAAACACAATGGGTGAGGAAATCGACCAGTCTTTTGTTTTAGTGCAGTCTCGGCTGTTTTGATTTCGTTTAAAGAAGAGAACGTTGATTATTCTGAAAGAAAGAGTTGGAAAGTTGGCTGCGAAGGATGAGGTGTGAGTGCTGAAGCACTTAACTAATACGCCTGTCACTGATAGTAGTTTCAATCAACCGAATGAAATAATGATTTATTATTGTTATTATTAATGCTACAACTATTTTCTGTTGATTTTTTTCAATGTAAACACAGTACTGTATGCTGTATCATCAATTGGATGTTGAGTGACTCTGGAAAGACGATAGGGTCACAGTGAAGGAATGAATGTAAAAGGTGATCAAAGAAAGAGAGATTTTGTCCTCATGAGGATTGCTTTAAAGGAAGCACTTTTTTAAAGATTGGCTAAGCCATCTCAAGCAAGTTGAGTAAAGATGACGAAACAACTGCCATTTAAGTCATTCAAAGCGAGTCGAATGAAAGTATGAATGCGAATAAGGATGGAATGGAAATACGTACAGAGACTGTTTATATATTTACGAGAGATACGAGAGACAAAGTGTAAGTGAGAAACTCTGGCTACGGTAATCTTTGGAGGATCGAAGAGTGTCATATACTTGTTTGTTAGCAATGTGTGTGATCGTGCCCGCATGCGAGTTTGTGTGCAGCCGCACACATGCACATGTACACACGGTTACGGTGATTTTCAGTCATGTTGAAATAGACATGTCATGTATTTTTTGTACATTAACGTGTATAGAACTGCATATGCTATATCTATCTTACTGTATGAGAGCGCAAGACTACATGAGCACGTTTTTAGTCCCGTCCCCCAAGACACTGACTCATCGAACGTATGTGAAAGCAATCATGTAGTCATTTCAGTTTTGTGTGAGTGCGTGTGTGTTTGGGTGCGTGCATGTGTGTGTACATACCACACATATTATAAATAGATATTTAAGTTCTACTTAAAAGAATATTGCAATTTGCACATCTGGAGAGATAGTAACATGATTTATTTTGTTTTCTGCCAGCACAGACAGGGCCGAAAACCAGATTTTTACTGAAATGTAGCAGTTTCTTGGCAAGTTTGTTTAGTTCGCGGGTCTGTTAGGTTCATTTTCATTAGGAAAACCAGGAAGCTCCTTTTCTGGAGGGTTTGAATCAGCAGGATTTTTGCACGGTGCTGTGTTGAAGAGTTCGCTCATAGCCTGTAGTCTGCATACTTGTCAAGTCGTTCGAGTGGCCACGCTCAAGTTAACTTGGGTAGGTGAAAATCTGGCAGGAAGATGGGTTGTAGTAGAGAATAAAAAGATGAATGAATGGATTTAATGAGTGGTGGAGGGTGGGTGAGTGAGTGCACCCCATATACAATTTGAAAATGCTTTATTTTTTATAATAAAACAGGGTTTCTCAGATCAACACCACAACCATGCATTTTTTTCCCTTTTTTTCCATTGGAAATGTCTCCACTTCTGTCTTTTGACCTGTGTGTGTGAGTTTTACTTGGATTATATGTGTGAATGTATCCACTTCAACCAATCAAACTTGATATTTTCATTGTGTTCGACGTTTATTTTGGGCCAAACGCTAGAAATATTGTTTGTCCGTTGAACCACCCCAAGAACAGAACTGTCGATGGCGGTCTCGCATTTTTGTCTGGTTTTTCCAATCTTTTCCCTTTGTCCTTCTCTTCATGTAATGATCAGTGTTTTCAATGTCGCTCATTGCTTCAATCATTTAACAGTCTGCCTCCTTCTGGTTGCACAGTGTGGTTCCACGTACGCATGAGAAGCATTCCGAACAACGGCACGTAGCAATAACCCTTAGTCTCTAGTGCTGAACCAAAAATACAAAAAAAAACACACACACACACAGACATCAACACCAGACCTTCTGTTCGACCTCAGCAAGCTGTTTTTTTATCCTCTTTAGGTTGATTTGCAGTTTGCACAGCCGGCCCTCAGTAACTTCAGGGAGAAATGTAAATTAATATGCAGTGACAGAGTCTGTCCCCTCCTAGCCGTCTTAACCCGTAATCTATAGTGACCTCTAGATGCTCTTCAGGTGCCCATACAGAACCAGTACGCCTCTCTCAGAGTATGTTTACCCAACCGCAACCGTTAGCTACCTTCTGTTGCCTGGCACGTACGTTTGACCGCTTTCTCACAAGGCACAACCACCTACAGTTCCTACAGTTTCTCTCTTTTTAGCTGTCTTTCACATTCATAGCCATATAACCTTGACAGTATTTTTGACCGAGTTTCATGTCAAATTTAGGTTTCGGGGTTTCAGGGGAGAATTCTAATTCATTCACTTGTACTCGCTCTGTTATCGTCAACATGAATTGATAGTTGAACCCATTTTACCCCCACAGTGTGGTATGTTTCAGGGTTTGCAATAAGGAACAGAAGGTTTTTCATGGTAAATCAAAATCGAGTTTACTGAAATAACTAAAATATGACGTCATGTCATTGGGAAAGTAAATTTGTTTTGTCTGGAGGACCATGTACTTTTTAAAAATAAAGGCTCCAATCTTGACGCCATAGAAAAATATTTTGGTTTTCTCATAGACACTATAAGTTGAAGGGTTTCTAAGACACAGGTGTCAAACTCAGTTTCTGGAGGGTGGCAACTCTGCACAGTTTAGCTTTAACCCCAATTAAACACACCTAATCAAACTAATTGAGTCTTTCAGGCTTGTTTGAAACCTAGAATGTGTTAAAGCAGGGTTGGAACTAAAATGTGCGGAGCTGCGGTCCTCAAGGAACTAAGTTTGACACCCCTGGTCTAATTCCTTTCATAAAGAATTTTTAAAAGATTTCCTAAAACCCCTTTTTAACTGTAAAGAACCTTCTTTGTGGTACAAAACATTGAAGGTTCTTCATGGAACCATTGATGCCTATATTTTTAAAAGCGCAGCAATTTATCTCTTACAATAAGACCTAGAAAGATGAATTATATATATTTTTTTTTCTGTTCAGCCAATCTTCGGGTTGGGCAGCACTTTTAGCTTAGCTTAGCATAAATCGATGTTTTTGATTCAACCATTAGCATTTTTGCGAGTTTGGTCATTACACCTGCTGCAGCAAAGTTCCTTGATTATTACATCGGAATGAGAGTATAGTAGCTAGTGGTGTAATGGATCACAAGTCTCACGGTTTGGGTCACGCTATGGTTTTTTAGTCACGGATTGGACCATTTTTCGGATCAGCCAAAAGGAAGAGGAGACAAATGTAATTTGCTTTGCATTTAATACAAAAACAGTACTGCAAGACACTTTTGGTTTTAACAAACAGATCTTAGAACCTGTAATTTTATTTAAAAATATATATATAATAATAATAATAATATGAAGAAATAATCAGCTGAACAAAAATAAACTGTCAAATATTCATTACTGTGAAAAATTCACTGTTGCTACTACAGTTGCTGATAACGCTAAATGTAGAAATGTAACATCATAATTTGTACAACCCATATTTATTTTTAGTCTTATTTCAAATAAACGATTCGGTTATTCACTAATTAAACTTTGCGTTTCATTGCTAGATGTATTATTTTTTAACAATTATTCAGTGGCATATTTTTAATGGCTTGTTGTCACCACCTATTGGTTACATAATGTAGTTGCTGCCTATAACTTTCATTTTTGAGAGTCTTTAAATGCATACGATGGTGATTTTAATCTTTACCATAAAAACTAATTGCTTTATCTAAACTGTAAACTGTTATCCCAGTACTTCTGTGTAATTTGACTGTTTGACTTCATAACTAACTCAAAAAACTAAAGACACAATCTCATTCTTGATTTTTGCGTTTTCAGATTTGAATGCAGCGATTCGAAGGATTAAATCACCAATCATAATTTAGGTTGCGTGGGTGTTGAGATCCCGATCTTTTGATGATTAATTGAGTAGCTGAATTACACTGAATGGATTAATGCAGGCTAAACAAATAGTGACAGAAAACACCTTTAATAACCTAAGAAACCCACTACATCCAGAATAACCTGCCACAACTTTTTCCATCATCATTATATTTTATAGGGAAGCCTAAATGCTT